GCGGCTACTGCACTCCAGTCTGGGTGACAGAGTGAGACTCCAACTCAAAAAAAAAAAAATGACAACCCGACCAAGTCTCTGAGTCAGTCCAGGTATCCTGCTGGTTCACAAGGAAACGAAGCTTAGACTCACTCTCGAGGATGGGAGCACTCCGATCACTAATGCTGGTCACCTTCTTCAGCTTGGTCCCTTTGCAAATGTCCTGTAAGAGGGCTCCTCGACCCCGCTGCTCATCTCTGCTCAGCTTGGGTGGCTCTGTGTTTGCCTGGAGGAAAGGGGAAATGTAAGTTCACTCTCAACACTCCCTTTCATCACAAGCTTGGGATAAATGAATGACTTAAACCAAACTGGATTCCGTGAGATGCCTGTCTACCTGCATTAGATATATGTGCCAAGTAGCATTAACAATGATTATCATTCTTCTCAAGTGTCTTTTTTTCTCCTGTTCTACCCTCTGTTCTATCTTCCTATTCAGTTCTGTTCTACCTTCCTATTCAGTAGCTCTGATGGAAGACCTGCACTAATACTTACTGAGTTATCTATGTGCTAGGCTTTGAGTGTTAGACAATTTCTACGTACCATCATCATTAAGGTAAACATTTTTTTTTTTTTTGTAGAGACGAGGTTTCACCAATTTGCCCAGGATGGTCTCAAACCCATGGGCTCAGGCAATTCTCTCGCCTCAGTCTCCCAAAAAGCTAGGATTATAGGCTTGAGCCACCCGTGCCCGGCCAAGGCAACCATTTATCAGTCCCTACTCTGCCTCAGTTATTGTGTGAAGAACATTACTTGCAATATCTCATTTAAATTTTGAAATGCATATGTGCAAGTTTGCTATAAGAAAAAATTTTTAATTATTTTATTTAATTACTATCAGTTATTTATTATTAAATAATTTTAAAACTTTAAAAATCTTAATAGAGCCCTATGAGAAAGATATTACTATCATTATCTCTATTTGGAAAGCATGGGCCAGGAAGTAAATAGCCAGTTCCCAGGGACAGCAACTAGTAAATAGTAAAGCAAGAATCCAAACCTCAACAGTGACCTATACCTCATCTTATCTCAACTAGTATACCCTATTTTCTTTCTATCACTTCAATTTATGCTCTAAACAGTGCTATAGACTATATTATTTCCATTCCAAATACAAGGAAATAAAGGCTTAGGATAGTTAATGTCATATGATTAGTAAACAAAGAGCCAAGATCTGAATGTGATCTGATTGCTTCAGAGTCCCATGCCTTTTCCACTTTCCCAACAGCCTCTTTCAATAACATCATGCTTCTTTTCAAGTCCTTCATCTTGCACCTACCTCCTTTTATTTATTTATTTTTTTGAGTTGGAGTCTTACTCTGTCACCCAGACTAGAGTGCAGTGGCCGTTCCCGGCCACCACAGCCTCAACCTGCTGGGCTCCGGCGATCCTCCTGCCTCAGCCTTCCAAGTAGCTGGAACT